TTGTAAAAAATTTCAAATAATCACATATTTTATGTCAGGTTCGAGGACGAAGAGCAAACTCTTACCATAAAAGCAGACTATGTCATCTCTGCTTTTGGATCAACTCTTTTGGATAAGGATGGTGAGTTTTGATAGAAATGAACGACAACCACTTCAATATTTCCACTTTTGCTAGAATTACAAACCTACTTGCGCCTGTATCGTTAAGATTGAGAACTTGCAGTAATTGAAGCAATGTCTCCTGTGAAAGTGAGCAAGAGAGGTCTTCCTGAAGTAGATAGGACCAACCAGACGACGAATGTTCCATGGGTATTTGCTGGCGGTGATGTTGCCGGAGTGGCCGAGACTGCGGTGGAGTCTGTAAACGATGGAAAGGTAGGGATCGCAATTCTTATATGGATTTCCTTCACTGATGTTGAGGTGATTGCAAGATTTGTACTTGCAAATTTGTGTAGATCGTGATTCACAGTTTATGCCAGAGGCTAATGCATCTATCTCATATGTAAATCCCACCTACACTACCCTCTGTCTGACCAACCGCTCGATAATCTATGGACTTTAGAAATATTAAAAATAATTCAATTCTGGAAGGAAAAAGCTAGTCATTTTTTTGGTTTCAGTCAAATTTGACTCATTTTTATTCCCATTCCGCAAGAGGCCCCTTCCCTTCCACCTCCTCTCCCCGCTCACTGATATAAAGCATTCGGAATTCCTCAGTCCCTGCCCTTGAATTTTTTTTCTAGATAGCAGCATGGTCAATTCACAAATACATACAGTCATTGCATGGAAATGATGTCGGCAGCACACCAAAGCTACCGATGTTCTACACGCCGATAGATGAGGTGCCGCAGATTGCGTGAGAGAAACGTACTTCTTCTGAAAATCAACTGTTCAGGTAGATATATCAGTGGAGATGTGCGGTGTGAAATTTGAGAATCCATTTGGACTGGCTTCAGCTCCACCAGTAACTTCAGGCCCCATGTGTCGACGAGCTTTTGAGCAAGGCTGGGCATTTGTGTTGACAAAAACGTTTAGTCTCGATAAGGTTCGCCTCCTGTTGCATTATTTCATCCCAAGTAGTATGTTTAACGGCATTTTGTTCGGATCGATGAAACAGCATTTATAGGATCTGGTCACACATGTTTCTCCTCGAATTGTCAGAGGATCTACTTCAGGACCTATCTTTGGCCCTAATCAGGTAGAGACAAACGTGCTTCCTTTTTTTTCCTTTTTCATTTTTGGAACATAAGTGAAATCTTTGTAAAACATATGAATAGGGATCCTTCTTGAACATCGAACTGATCTCTGAAAAATCGGCTGCATACTGGTTACAATGCATCAGAGAGTTGAAACAAGA